GCGTGTCATATCGTTTAGCTTGCCTTGGGACAGGCTGGCAATCGCGGTGACATAATGGGCCGTAGGCACGGCAACCAACAGTTTAAATTGTCGCCAAGCCTGCTCAGGCGACCTCGGAGTTCCAGACGGAGTATGATGCATTGGAGTTCCTTCTTTCGTGTTCAAAATGGCGCTGCATCTTCTATGAGTTGGACGACAGCTGTCGGCCCACAACCTCTGTGCTGCCACACATAGTGCCAGCGATCGCTCAGAAGTACGGCGACTCTGTTGATCATATGTTTTGGCCACCGCCGCCGAGGAAAAAAGCTGGGAAGGCATGTGGCCCAGCTCCAGGTGCAGACGCAGAAGAAGCTATACACGCTGCCATTGCCGATGCAGCTGCTGAGGGGGAGGACCCTGAGGCGCCTGAAGATCATCCTGGTGCCGATGTTCACGGCGAGGGTAGTGGCGATGATCTCGATAAAGTCATGGTTGATTTATTGGGCGAGTTCATCGGCCCGCTGGAGGAGCCTCCAGAGCCCGATCCTCCTGGTCCTGCAGGTCCTCACGGCGGCGATCCTGGTCCAGGTCCTCATCCTGCCCCAGAGCCTGCTGGTGCAGCGCCACATGCACCGCCGCCACCACCGCCAGATGCGCCACCAGCTGCACCAGCGGCTGCTCCTGGGCACGCAGGCGGTGGGGTTCCAGCAGGCGGCTTCGTCAGAGTTCCCAATGGCACCATCTCATTTTATTCGGTTGGTAGGAAACGGTTCGCGGCATGTTGTTCGAAACATCCTGAGTGTAATGCTGAGCGCAGTAGGAACGTCGATAAAGCAGTTGTCGCAGGTGGTCCGATGATTTACGGAGGGAGGCCGATTGGCTTCCTCGCTGCATGGCTGGCCGCAGGGCTGCGGGATGATATCAGGACCAAGGCTGACCACAAGGCCCTGTTGAGGGACGGGGCCCCCGAGCTGGCATCGCAAGACTTGCGAATGCACCACCGCAATGCTCTTTCGTTATTGCCTGGCGGCGAGCTGATCCAAAGTTTTGAACGTCAGCGTTGCGACGGCGAGCCTGTGGAACCTGAGACTCTCAGGGGTCTTTTGGGATAATGTATGAGGCCCTGATGCTGAGCATTCTTGTTGGGCCTCACGCCACTTTATTTTAAGTTGACACGTGCAGCGCGCAAGTGAACTTGACGCGCGCATCTTGCAATTGGAAATGTTGTGATAACGAGGTGAATGAACGAGGTACCCAGACCCAATCAATGCCAGATCTGTTGTCGGGCCCAGGGTGGACGAGGAAGAGCGTGCAGCGCGTGGCAAACTCTCGGGCCGACTTGGGTTCACCACTATGCTGCGGCCTGTTGCAGAAGTACGCCCAGGTGCGGTCATCTTGGAGCCCTCAAGGGCATATTGGGCGTCTTGGGCGTCTTGGAATCGTCAAGGGCATATTTGGCGTCTTCGGCGTCTTGGGGCAATATTGTGCGGCCATGGGCCATGGGCGTCTTGGGGCCATCTTGCAATAACATCTTGGGCGTCCGCAGCACGGCCGCTGCAGTGCCGACGATCCGTGTGAGGGGTGGGTCGTGATGGGCGCTGGTTGGGCGTCTTGGGCGTCTTGGGATCAGAGAACAGCAACACAGCATGTCCCGCTGCTGCGTCGGGTATTCCTTACCGCTGCTGCGTCGGGAATTGTCGGCTTGCTTGGGAACGTTTCCCAGTGCGTGTCGTTGCCAGATATACAATTGCGCTGCGCGCGTGCACTGCCTGGACCAACCACTGCGGGTATAATTATATTACAGCATCGGCGATGGCGGTGCTGGCCAAAGAATCCCTCCGATAGAAACTGAACCTGAAGTGTGTCGGACCTGGGGCGGCCATGGGCCATGAGCGTCTTGGCGTGGGAGGGGGGGCATTGCGGTCGGTGCCCCCGCATGGCCTCACGGGGCCTGCGGTGGCTTGAACGATGTCCTAGGGCATTCCCCGTCGGCGGGCCTAGGGCCTAAGGGCTCAACAACCGCCACAGTCGGCGGCCGTGTCAAATCATAAGTAAACTTATCCTCGCCCGCTTACTTGTTCGCCTCCTCTTCCTCCTCCTCATCATCATCACCATCATCATCATCATCGTCCGCCCCCTCCCACCACCTATAGTAATAGTCGTAGCAGCGGTAGTAGCGGTAGCATTAGCAGGGGTAGTGGTTCGAGGGGTTATGGATGAGGCGGGGGAGGAACGTATCAATGCCAAATGGCCCGTTTGGCCAAATGGCGCCGCCGCGCCCCCCGTGACCCCGCCCGCCGAGCCGACAGGCTGCCGTGGAGCGGCAGCGGCGGCGCGGGGCCACCCCCCTCCCCCAGCCGAAGGCTACGGCCCCCGAGCTTTTTTTCGGGCCCCCTGGCTGGTCGCGCTGGGGGGGGGCGAGGGGGCAACGGGGGGCTGCTGCCTGAGTGTAGGGTTGATACGCATGCCCAGGGGCCCTCCGTCTGAGGGCAGCGGTTCGGGGGAGGCGGAGGATGGAGGTTATTTCCCCACCGTTTTCGGCCCCAACCCTTGTAGTAGTAGTAGTAGCAGCAGTAGCCGTAGTATTAGTAGTAGCAATGGCAGTAAGTTTCCAGCGGGGCCGTTCAGAGGTTTCTTGGTGCCTCCAGATTCGTGCATATATCTTCAAAATTCCCCGGATGTCTCAATACGTGCATGGGTGAGATCTCGGGATGCCCCAGGCCCCAGGATGTACCGACATATGCGGGCATTTGCATTGCAGGCTCCGCGGTAGCATACATGAGTTTTCGTGATGCTTCCAGTGTTTGTGATGTTTCCAGATGACTCCCAGTGTCCGTCGGGGTGTCCTTTTATGTTTCTGATTGTATCTAGATGCATTCAGGAGTCTCTGTAGGTATCCACGTCTCTCTAGATGTATCTGGGTGTCACAACGTGTCTTTGCATGTCTGAAGGTCTCTCTGCATGTCCCTAAACTTGCCTAAATGTATATGCGTGTTTTAGACGGGTTTTGGTGTATCTAGATGTCTCTGTGTCTGCAGAAGTGTCTGTAGATGTCTCAGACGCACACACATGATCCCGATAATTCACAAGGGCCCGAAGATGGGCCTGGACACGGCGGCATAGGACCCGTTATGGGGTTCTGCAGGAAACTGCCCCAGAGGACCCATTATGGGTTCAACAGAACACTGAGGTAGGGGAGAAATGTGACGTC